TTATTTTTTCTATTTCTTATTTATCATTATCTCGTATTTACATTACTGGATCATTATAATGATCTCTGTATTAATCTACGGACGCTATCAAAATTTCCAATTAATAGTTGCCAGAGTTTCAATTTATCCTATTGTTTTCTCAACCTTTATACCACGTATACATGATTCTCATCGATCATTTTCATCAAAGAATCAATGTCTAATGCCTAAAATGGGCTGAAATTGGGAAAATAATTGAAGATCGATATTTAGCAGGTAATGTTGTTGAATGTTCTCTATGTTTGTAAATCTTTTGTCCGCCAAGTGTTAAATACGATCGATGCAATTAATGTTATATTTCACATCAAATGAGATGGCATTGGAAATCTTTAGGAAAATCAAGACTCGTATATTTTTATTTATTTTATAATCCAGTATCGGTGCTGCTACCCATCTGATCTAAGCTCTCTATGAAAATGTTAAGGGTCTGCAAAAAAATCATTTTTTTTTGTTTTTTTTTTTGTTTTTTGTTTTGTTTTGTTTTGTTTTGTTTTTGGTTATGTTTCACGCTACAACAAAATACACGTTTATAAAATAATGATATATATATATTTGTAAATTGATTTAGCCTTTGGATTTGTTTTTTTCATTAAGAATTTTTTTTTCTCTTTTTTTTTCTCTTTTTTTTTCTCTTTTCTTTTCAAAAGTAGCCAGTAAAAAAGAAGATATCAGAAGCAATGGAGATTGTTGATTAAGATAATTCTATTGCAAGATACAAACTTGGAGTGTTTGTCGTTTGAAACGTGTGATTTATCATTTAGAACTTTTAGAAACGTCTGTCTATCGGTATGATGGTCTACGGTATGTATGGTTATCATATGTTAAGTAAGCCTAACTCTATCGGTTCGTATTACTGTATATTTTAGCACCTACGGAGTGTAGTTTTTCAATGTATTGTCACAAATTGCTTTTAAAATTGTTTACGATATAGAATTTACTTTACTTCAAAATTCCACTCTAATCTACACATTAATATGTCAGCAATAGTTGCAGTGATATTTTCACTATGATATTTGTTTGTATGGTATCTTAATAATAATATCGATTCTATCTCTATTTGGTGTGTTACATGTAAAACAAATCCATATATATATATATATATATAATTTTTTTTTTCTTTTTTTTTTTTTTAAACCACTTGCATCTCTATTCTATACATTTGGGTATTGTTCAGATAGTGCATGTTGTAGACCCTTGAAATGCTTACTCGAAAATTTTTTCTTGCTGCTTACATAAAGAGGGTCATTTTATGCTGGTGGATAGTGGTAGGCGATAGATACTTTTAAAAGTTTATTTCTGCAGATATGCTACTGTTTGATTTTGATATACTAGGAGGAGAATATTACTAGA